AAAAACTTCTACTTTCTGTACTGCACTTGTGCATTCCTCCTGAACTGCAATATGCTTCCATAAGCTTGAGATCAGTGGAATGTACAGGCATAATGTTAGGAAGGAATAAGTGTAAGCTCGAGCCTCGTTCAAAGCCAAACCTTTGCTCATGTTCAGCATCCTTATGTATGCTTGATGTGAATGATGCTTTAGTTTCAATCTAACTCGATTTTCCGTCAACAGGAGAAGACTTTCGTTTACCTTTAAGAACCGGTAGTCTTCCATACGTATCCGCAAGCCATCCGGCTGTAAAAGATCCCGTCAATGCTCCAGCCATCAAACTTGTGGACATGAATGCTGTCAACGCTGACTGCTGACATGCCTCGCCCCAGTCCAATAATAGAGAATTGAAGTCAATGTCAATCATCTAAAAATCACCAGAATAACAGTATTTTAGAGCGAAGGCGACATTTTCTACGTTCACATTTCTACGTCTACCTCATACTTAGAGTGTATGTCACCGGCAATGTTTGTTGCATTGTAATTTCAGTAAAATAGAATGTGACCTGACGGAAATCTATTGAGATCGAAAGTAAGAACTGCATAATAGACTACAAACTGAGGTCAAGGGAAAATACTGCGCACGAAGTCACCAAAAACGACTATTCATTTCAAAATGCTAATACAAGAAGGAATCCAAGGAATTTCATCTCTATCGCTCTACTCGGTGAATAATGCCAAAAAATACATGAGAAGCCTATTATGCAATCTTTTACTTGGACAGCTATTCAGGCTGAGGTTTTTTATAAAAACATATAACAATGTCGTGCAGTTGCCAGAGCCGCTGTTCACTGCGCACTGAATCTATTACCGAATTCCAAGAATAAAACAAAGTCCCCAGAAGCTATGGCTGCCTACCAATTAACCAGACATCAGCTGTTGGTGCCGGCAACAAAACATCACGTGACGATATTCACTTAATAAATTGGCCTTGATCTAATTTTTGGGAACGCGCCATGCATTCGGCTCCCATACAGAAACAAGAGGTATCTGGACAAACAATCGGCGGGAGCATAGCAATACATATCAATAACCCCAGTTTAAGTTGCTTTCACAGTCAGTGATTCTTTGTGAACAATAGCGATTGGTGGTGGCGTCGCTGACTATGAACGCGATCCGCGCAATCCTCGAAAGCAATGTCACGCCTGTCGATCACTACGCTACCACAACCCATTAAAATACTTGCTACATCACATTTCTGAAAAATTGCTGGTATTCTCCGAAAAAAAAGAAGGGGGACATGTCTTTGCTCAAGACTTGCAATTTACATGAAAATTTCCCTGACAGATTTCGGAGATTCGTAAGTCAATG